AGGTAGTGGTTTCCCTGCGGTTCCTCCACGGTACACGGTCCACGTGCACGTACACGTAAACCGGCTGGGTGTGAGAGTCGTGTAGGTGGCTCTCCTAGAAGGAGGGCGAGGAGGAAGCGGGGTCGCTGACGTTCCAGCCTGACGCCGGGACGACCTGCGACCAAACGCAGCGAGCCGAGGGTGAGTACGGAGCATCTTGGCGTCGGCCACGTATACATGCGTCATCGTTGTATTAACAAAAACGGACTGATCAGAATCGGCCTGGGAACATGGAGATTCAGGCCTGGGCTACGGGAAGACAGTGGACTCTATACTCGAGACTAACCCTTCGCGCTCGAAAGTTTTCTGCTGGGAACGTTCAAGGTTTTCTGATAAGATGTAGAGGATGTTTCTGGCACTAAGTTCATGAGGAATTAGACGTGAATTAAGGGACGACAGTATTTTATTTCAATAACGGTGTTGATGCATTATAGAGGTAGTATTGCGTATTGAATTTTATAATTTTGTATCAAGTCAAGCGACTGAGAATCGTTTCCCGAGTTAGGAAAGGGTTAATTTGAAGAATCTGATCAATTGGTAAGAATACCAAGGGATTTTTAGTGTCATGAATTTAGTGTATTCGGGAGTATTAGAAAATAGGAATACGTTCATGTTTAAATTTGATAATGATCGTGCATGTGGTTGTTGGGAATGAGTAACAATTGTTGTAGACATTTTTGTTACTCCTTTTTCGGAAGTGCCTGATGTTATTAATTTAAGGAATATTCGTATATTAACAAACGATTATAAGAATTGAATAAAGAAGATGAAATCGTATGTTGCAATTTCATGCTACATCTTTCATTAGTATTTTTGTCGTCGCAGATGATTACATTGTAGAATAATAAGGTTAATATCCAACTAATTCTCGTTGAAGTTAATCTTTTGTTCTATATACCTGCGCGCGGTTCAAATATATTATATAAGTGTTTATCGAGCGAACATTAAAATTAAGCTGTCGATTCCTTTATAATACCACTGTCATTCGCACGGCGTTACAAGGCTCCTGTTCGCTATCCCTATTCAAACGCTGTCCTTCGTCGTTTCCGCCAGAAAAACAGAAGCGAACGATCGCAAAATCGTAACCCGCCGTTCGGTATAATCGCGTTACGCGAATTCAGCTGCGCGATTATACGAAGAGAACGTGATCCTATGGCTACCTACCTAGGCGACATGCACGAATTGCTCGCACGCAATTTATACCTTTCTCTAATCCAAAACATTTTTCCCGCGTTCGGTATCTACACATTCAATAAATCTCGCGTTTATATTCGCGCGTAATATCCCGCACAAACATAAACAACTGAAATTATCGTGGCTTCGAAGCGATTGCTTCACACTCCCTATCAAAAAATTACGCAACCGCAATTTTTCCGAAGTGTCCTTTCCATTACCGCGTAGAAATTAATATATTCAATGGCTCCCAGGATAACGGGCGCCCGCGCGGTTCCGGTGATCGTAGAACAAGAAACTCGTTGTTCCGTCCGTTTTCGTGATCGCGCGTAGTTTTTACTATTAATTACGTGTCCGCGTGAGCGTTTACGATCGAAAAATTCTGGCGTCGGAGAGATGAAAATAATCAATTACCAAACGATCCCGGGAACGGAGTTTCCTCGGCGAGCCGCCGCGCGAGAGACGAGAATTCCAGCGTAACACGTCGTGTGGTCTTCCCCGCGATGGACCCTCCTCACCTGCAGCTCTCGCGGCGGTATCCATCGACGCGTTTAATTCCTGATTGGTAAAAAACGAGCCGAGGACGTCGTACTATTTGCGGAATCGTAAAAGCAGGACGTTTCGTCGACGTCGCCGGACGTACAGCGCCATTCGTTTGTCCCCGGGTAATACGATCCCCGGTAACACACGGCTCGCCGCGCGGCCGCGCTCCGTCATACAGCTTTTCCGTTCGTCCTGCAGCCCGGCCGTTGAAGTCCTTCTTCCCGAGCGCGAATATTATATTGTAATATTTATCGCCGTGAATGCCGAACGCCGGCGTATATTACGTCCGTCGCGGGGACCGGGCACAGTGACGTGCCAAGCTGACGCCGACGGGGCGACCCGCGCGCACAACCGTCGGGGTTCTTTACATTCCATCGACTGGTCGATGGGTTTCACTTTGTTATTTATTAAAATTTCGCTGATGATGATTTTCTAAAAAACTCCTGTATCAGGTCGTGCGATACGACGTGCTGGGTTTTGCGGGAGAGAGGAAACCTTGTTTGATGTTCTAAAAGTTTGTTTGTTCAATGGAAACATGGTCTGTTAGAGTCGAAGCACATCGCTCGAGTTGTTTTTATGAATGTATACCTTTTTTTGAAGAATTCTAAATGTTTAGGATTAATGTATTGCGAGGACCGTTGTAAACTACTGTTTCGGGTTTATCACGCTCATTTTGTATAGAAATAACACCGAAACGGAATTTTGTAAATCAAGGCTGCATGTTCTTTCATTCACGGTGTTGTCTCTGAATGCTTTGATTATTTCAAGCGGTTTTTGCGGCGTAATCTCCGTGTTTTGGATTCATATAAGAAAATTACACGAATCGTCGCGGTATCCATGTTTTTGGGAAACGACGCAAGAAATAGTTATTGTGGACAATTCGGAGAAACCTTTATGCAAAAAGTTACTCTGGTAATCGACGATGAAGTTGTTTAAGAGATTGCATGAGAAACAAGGGAATACAAACATTTATGAGTAAGAAAAATTCGACAGTTTATATTATACGAGCTAATAACAGTTTTTTGGGGGTAACAAAGTAAGCCTGTTAGAGTGGTAGGATTTATAAAAATCTTATTGTGAGAGATTGACTTGTGCATGGATGTTTTAAATAGTAGCACAGAAGGTAATTACATATTAATCTCTTGTTATTTGAATAATCGCTGGTAGATGCATTTCATTTTGTTGCTTATTAACACGTTAAACGCCGCACGATTTCAAGAGGAAGATGCACAGAATGGAAAAAATATGATATTAAATCATTTGATCGAATTGCATTACTATTCCACGTTCATTTAGCTGAATTTCACTATTATGTAGCATTATTTACAACATAGAAATGTTTTCATATAATTGTCGTTTCATTGAGTGAATTATAGTACCATAATTCGATTTGGTCGAGGGTCACCGGTGACTCCCATGGCAGTCAACGTATTAAACCGTCGCTGCTCAGAATTTTTTGATAAGTGTTATTACTGCTACTGCTATTACTACTACGAAACTAATTTCGTGAAAAATTGATTTCAACATTAAGAAAACCTGTTACGTAGAAGTGACACGCTCCTATATAACAAACGAAAATCGATGTGACGAAATAAAAGGAAAGTGTGAAGTATGTAAGTTGTAACATCAACTAACTACAAAGCCAGGATTATCCACGTCTATTTCGGATGACATTTAAATTACTAAACCATATTCCGTTGCTTTCTAACCCATTTTGCGTTATCCTGAACTTTAAATAAATTGCACTATTCACGGAAAATAATAGTCCTCGTGTAAACTCAATAGAGCCAATTTTGTGCTTGGAAAATACGCATTACATAAACGTGGGCACAGAAGAGTTCAGTTTAAAATAAGCGGCAAAGCTCGGAATAACAAAAATTGAATTTGTGTCTGCATGAATTCAGTACAAGCCTGATTTCATCAACATAACGATATTCGTCTTTGAAGGGTTGAACCGAAAGGATTTTCGAGTATCGTTCCAAGGAAACAACATTATTTCACCTCATATTAATGAGATTCTGATAAGAGTCTAGGTTGTTGTTCGGACTTTTTAAAAATTATTTAATCAAATCTGTAATGTAAAAAGGATTTTATCCGAGATAACTTTCTTAGTTTACAAGACTGCCTTCCTTCAACCACAAGCAAAGACATTTCAGTAACCAGCTAAAAATTTCTGAACAACGTTCATCATGATTCTTATAGCCACGACCAGGTTAACTTATTTTTAGTTGAAAACGCGTCCACGGCATCAAGATTCCCAGACATCTATAGTCGCTTGGACGTGTATACAGTTCATCCGACAGCGGATTTATCTCTTGCGTTCCACCCCCGCATCTACGTCACACTGTAATGCAATAATTGACCTTTTCGCCGGTTCGATGGAGACGAACGCAAAAAAGGGTCGACGCTGGAGACAACAAAGTAACAATATAAGACCTCAACCGACACTCCGGTACATGATAAGAAAAATATTGTTGGGGAATCGTTTAAACATCTGCAAATGAAATATAATATACTCAAATGTTGAAAATCAACTAACATTTATGATTGGAAACGATAAGAAACGATAGCTGAGTACAATCAAGAATTAGTGAAAATTTCTACAGCTGTATCGCAACAAGTATTACTGGAAAATTATATTAAGTACTTCCGCAGTACATTCTTAGAATTAATCTTGACAATAACCGTTTGTTCTTCCGATGAAATTTTATTAATCTCATATCAGGTGAAACTCGAACATAGGTGACCGGTTTAGAAGTCTACGCAAGGAGGCAGGAATACTTGAATCTTTCGAATTGGTCAAATTTCTGTTCATCGAAGATACTCTTTTCTAGAACATTACATGGAACACGTAACATTCGAGATTCTTTCCTTGTAATTCACTATTGTAATCGCCATTAATTACGAATCATGTAACCGCGTGATTGTTTTACCTATCGTTATATACATACATTTTAATATATTTTAATAGGTTAGTTTAATAGATGATCTATTGTAATAGATTGAATATTGGCATAGCCTTTGATCTTCAGAACTCTATGGAGATGAATTGTTAGTGGTCTGAACCGCAAAATTCATCAGCGATGATCTCTACGTCGCGAACGCGTATCCCCGAGCGAACGATCGCTACCAGATTATATCTAATCTGAGAATGTCTCGATCGCGCAGCGATAAATCTCCATCCACTTGACCGATGTGTTACAAACCAGAGTTTCATAGTATCGAGAAGTTGAACCTTCTTTTAGGGCGTTCGAGGCCAGATACATTCCGTGAAGGTGAATCACTGTTGCAGCCCGCTACGCGGAGGCTAATATAATTGGGAGTAGATTACGAGGCAGGAAAGTTTTTCAGGACGACTATAATTCGACGCGCCTACGTCGATGCGTTTGAATTCACGACGATCCAAGTTTGGCAGCAGGTAATTAGGGAACGGAGGAGTTTCTTGGTGGACGTCACCTCTCATTGGTAGCCTGCTTTTAGATTTCGTTTCATCATTGTTAAAATGATTCTCTCAATTCCCCTTGTTTCAGATTGTTGCCACTACTTGATACCAATTTTGGAAAGTCTAGACGAACTTATCGATTTGATGGATTTTTCTTTTGCATGCACTTTTCTTCAACGTTAAAATTGTTATTCTTATATACTTTATAGATTATCGTACTTTAGAAGGGAACTGATAATTTCTTGTATAAAAGTATAAATAGAACAATGAAATGTTTAATCTACAATTAACAAAAGGAAATCCTTAATGGAGAAGTAAATATTTGTTCAATCCTTTATTCGTAAATTGTTCCAAGAAAGTATCACTACACGAGAAGGTAAATATTTTTGTTGTTCTTTACATATTTTATATAAAAACAACTAATATTTATAAGCTTTTTACTATAATATTGATAATATTGAAGCACAGTTTCAGATTGTGCTAATAACGAATGATACTGTAGTTAAAAAGGACGACAATTCGAAGTACTGGCAATGTCTACACTCGTACTCGGCAGGATCGCAGTAGATTACCCCATCCAGTGATCAGACCGAAGTAGACGCACGAAAATCAGGCCAAGTGACTCTAGTCCCCCCACATCATCGGTATTAATTTATTTCCGAGCCGGAGAGGAAAAAAATTGTACTGCTTCAAAATATAATACTATTGATTAGATAGATTGGCTAACAAGTAGTCAGACCAAGCCCACTCGCTGCCCACATTATCGACGTAGCTTCAATTTACAGGCAACACCGGGCGAAACTTTGCGTCCCCTCGAAATTGCTATTGTGACAACTATTCGCGGAACACAGGGTAATTGTAGGTTAATAAGTATCGGATTCCGATGTAGGTGGCCGACCCACGAAATAATACACTCGCACGACTGATTCAAATACCGAATTATCTCGCAGAAAACTCGAAGGACGTTCGTTGTAAAGCAATTTTCATTTCATCCAGCGGATTTACTTGAAGTGTTTCAAAGGGTACTTCCCATTTGACATACTGATCTAGTATATTAAGTCACAGGAAAATTTGTATATCAATCCAGACACTTTCTTGAACGAAAACAACATTGTATGAACGGAAATTGATTCCTGTAATAAGTCACTTAGTAGTGTAATATTAAGTTCTTACATTCAAAATGGTATTGAACGCAGTGCACCGTGTATATTAATTTTTTATAGCAAAAATATATCACGATAATTATATTTTTGTGAATATTTGAAGTTCTTACGAAATAACGCTCGTATTAAAATTGTTCAACGTGCCACCATGATAAACAAATACGGAACAGTTGAATTTTTTCTCGCACAGAAAGAATTTATAACAAATTGCCTTAGACTAAAAAGAATATTTCTACAAAAAAAAAACATATTTTCAGGCAGATCGTCCTTAGGAGTTCTTATCTTATATAAATAGTACAACCAGTTATTTACATTGCAAACTGAAATATTCATTTCCATTATCTTTTGTATTATCTCGCTGATAATAGCGAGTACTTCCTGTAACGTTTAAAACAACACTGTATATATAACTAACTAATAAACTAAACATACCTGCAAATACGTTCCTACGTGGGCTACAATTTCACCATTATATTAACAAGCTACCATTCATCTTTACAATTTTCTGGTATACAATTAGTTCTGTTCTTACTAAGACTCAGCGAAATAGCTTCTATACATTTATATTATTTATGAGTGTTGGCTCTTTTTTAAAAGCCATGCATTGGCTTTTTCTATTCGCTTACTTCGACTTTGACTTTCGTAAAATATAAAATATGCGTGCAGACAATATACTATCAGAGTTAGAACAGAAACATTTTAGCTGGTAACACAAGGGTTAAGCTTCTTTTAAATTTCCAGAAAGTTTTTTTGAATTCTCCATACATTTACATTATTTATGAGTATTCCACATATTAGCTTTTTCCATTCATTTACTTCGTCTTTGACTTTCGTAAAATATAAAATTTGCGTGCAGACAATATACTATCAGAGTTAGAGCGGAAACATTTTAGTTGGTAACACAAGGGCTAAGCTTCTTTCACGTTTCCAGAAAGTTTAATCGAAATCAGTGCGTAACGCATGGTAAGGTCCCCGCGTGAGTCGTCGTCGGTCGTCCGGGTGGAATGAGTGGGAGGAAGGGCAGCGTTCGGTTGAACAGAGAGGGCTTAGCGGCTGGAGCAGCTTGACGAAGGGAAAGGGACAGCGGAACAGAGAGAAATGGCGTTATGGTCGATGATAGGAGCGAGCGGGAAGCAACGAGAGAGACCCTACTTTTTGGATCCGTACCGAGGAGGATGAGTGCACGTATGCACGAACTGCACGCAGATATGGAAAAAGCTGTTACATGCACAACCGTATACCGGTATCCTCGCCGGCGAGACTCGGAATCCTTTGCTAAATAAATTTTGCAACGTATTATTAACCGAGAAAGTTTGTGCGGTCCTTTTTGAGTGGTTACATAGGTACTTTACTAGTTTTTATTACTTTTATGCATCAGGGGACTAGAGAAACTTGGAATACATCCGTTGGCGCGAAGGGCTCGCCATTAGCATATCGTTCTTGATAGAGAAATTTACTGGGGAATTGTTCCAGTAAAATAACAGGAGACCGTATATAGTAGGAATTGTGATAAAAAGAATTTTATGACTCGGATCATTTGATTGGAATAGGTTTCTTTGTCTAAGGAAATCAGTTTTTGTGAAAGTGGATGGTAAAGGGACACACTGTTGAGGATAGACCGTCGAACGATTAAAGGAATGCAAATGGTAATAAAATGAGAGGAAAACCGCACGAACTTATTTGGTTACCTAATATCCGAGCCTCGCGGCAGTCAAACTGATCGATAAGCTGAGGATACTTACATAAATTCACCTTTTTGGCGTGAAATCTATAATAAGTAAGACAAGAAAAATAATAGGAGAACTATATTTCCTGTGTTGTATACTTTTTTTCAGACTGAAACAAAAATGCACGAGGGTCTGTAGTATTTTAATCGTCATGAAATAATTAAACTATGTATGTAGGTTATGATATTTCGATAATATTTCGTACGAATTATACCAGACAGATGTCACATAATTATTCATTTCAGATTCGCTTCGCTATGAAATGTATATAATATGTAAAACATTTAAATTAATAATGGTAAGACCGAGAAGTTTATAGAAAATGCAGATGATCAGTCATGATTCCAAGAAGCTTATTTATACCGAGACTGTATTTTATGCATTTGCGCTTACATAAGAAGCCGAGTTACTTCGTCACTCGCAATCGATTTCACACACTTGTATTTATTTAACCGGCGAGTACTGCGTTTAACCGTATCAGTAACAGAATACATTATTGTTCCTTTAAATCTGAACAAAATGAATACTTCTTATTTATATATTCCTACAGTCTATAAAAACATATCAATAACAATACTTTCCAAACAGGAGAAAAAATCCTTACAAAAGAGATTTCGAAAAATTAATATTTCAAAATTCAAAAAGATCTTCCGCGTATTTTCCTTCTATTTCTACGTGCATTCGACTCTTTATCAGAAAATTGCATTTTCCAAAAAAATTGCATTCTTGCAAACGCCATTCTTACTATAAGCATTTTGTGCTCACTTTCTGCAGCTATTGACTGCTAAATCTCCAGTATAAAGTAATTCACTATCATAATATGTCTGCATAAAGCGTGAAAAGGACCAATAATCCCTCGTTATCCTGTCACGGCAGAGCCTCGCTCGGCCAGGCCATCCGCTTAATCCCAACCCAAAAATCGCGCATAACTCGCAAACTACTAATTTCTCAACCTTTACTCATTACACCTTTTTTCATCCACCTAACATATACCATCTACCCTCAAACTTTGAAACCCTTCCTACACCTTCACCACGCGCAAACCATCGAAACATGAAAATTCCACGTCATCATCGATCGAGTCTGCCTGCTGGACAGACCGTTCCGGCTAACTCCCAGAAGCCAATCAAACCTATCTTATTCCCGGGATCGTGTTTTCGTTTCCTCAGCCGATTGACGCGTTTCCCCGTGGCCTGTGGTACACGTCGGAGACCAGTACGAGAGGAGAAGCATGCATGTACTCAGCATTGTTCAGAAGAAGAGCCCCGAAAGGAATGCGGGTCTAATCGGTTAGCTTTCATCTTTTCTCACCTCGTTTTCGATATTAGAATAATTTCAAGTGAAATAGCTCTGCGTGAAACACTTATGTCTTCAATTGTTTTTAATGGCATGTTGCATCTCGCACAGATCCCCGCTTAACTATTCTTCGTATACGTAACATACCTTCCTAAACATATTCTGTTCTCTGAAATATTAACGATGTTTAATATGTAACAATTCTTCGAAGATAAATGGCTCATCTCTCCGACATACCCTAATTTTCTATTCCACAACACTAGAATTACCGAGCACTGAAATTGACTTTCTGAAACTTCTCTATGGAAACTTCAAGAGTGCATCTATTGAGACTTTAACACATTGATCGCCGTGGGGGTCGCCGGTGACCCCTGATCAAGTCGAATTATTATAATTCAGGGATATAAACGATGATTATTTGCAACATTTTTATATTTTTGATAATGCTACCTAATGCGGTGACATTTGCCGAGATAAACGTGCAATAATAATGAAACGATACAATGAAATAATCTGATATCATATTTTTATCATTTTATGTATTTTCCTAGATAAAACCGTGCGACATGCAACGCGTTAATTAACTCATGACTCAATTTGCATATTGCCAAATTAATTTCTTTAATAACTCCCGGAGCATCTATTTTTTTAATAATCGCGATAAGAGGAAATCTGGAATGGGTCATTTTGACTCGTTCGGTAGTTCTAGCGTTAATCCGATTACGACGCAGCCAATGAAACTACGAACAGAACACATGGCAAGATACTCTTGCCCCTGTGCCATCACAGGGCACTTCTCCTGAACAACGGTGAGCAGGGAGGACATGGGCCTGTGGAAAAGGAGGAAAGAAGCGGCGTAAAGAGAGAAACGGATCGAGCTCGCGCGCGCCTCCCGAACGAGCCGAGATCCGGGGGTCTGTGGGAAGAAAAGAGCGGCTGAGAACGGTGACCAAGGAAGAGAGTCCCCCGTGCCGGGGGCACGGAAAGAAGAGAAGAAAGAATGCATTTGGATTGCTCGATAGAGTAGGTGGGTACAACATAAGAAGGCTAGGTCGGCCTGGTGGGAGTCCCGGCCGTGGACTCGCCGGACAACCCGCGGCCAGGACTCGGACGAACGGCAACTCTGCCTATATTATAGAACACACCATCAGGAACTTGTAAGGCCCCAGCGCCGCGCCACGGTGGGAATTCGCTTCTCTCCTCGCGGGTACGCACACGCCTGTGCCCGCTTAACGCTCTCCGCGCGCTATTTAGACGTGTGCTCGTGCGGACGCGCGCCGCGCGCTGTCCCTGCGACGATCGCTCGCTCGATCCTCGCGCCGTTTTCAGACGCCCGGCCATGGGAAAAGGGACTCGAGCCGGGTTCCGTGGGGTTGCGGCCGATCGAGGGTCCCGCAAACGATGGGTACGTACTACGCGCTTTTTAGGACCACCGTTCGCTACCCGTACGGCTGCGATTCGAGAATATATTGTTCCATGATGCGCAGTTGGTCTTGGGTGAATGGAAGAACGGAGCGGTCGGATGGAATATTTTTATCGGTATAGCAATTTTATGACGTTCCGTTTGAAATTTGCAGTGCTTTATTTTATATGGTTTCGGATGCAAGCTACGCAGAATTAAGGAATTTTAGGTTGACTTTGGTTTTGTAGATTATTTTCTGAGTCTCCGTATTTGTGTTATTGATAAGGTATTGGTAAAGTATTGGTATTCTTATGATCTATAAATAATGGATAGGAAAGCAGCTTTTGAATTTTAATGGCATGGAACAGGTATTTTAATAGAAAAAGTATCACACGAAACGGAGGTATTCATCAATATCGTTTTTATCCGAATGTGAAAAACTTTTGCGCGAAACTTCCAGATCCGCCGTCATGAATATATAACCAGCTTCAAAA